AAATTCTAATTAAGACAGCTGTCCTAGCTGCAAGGGAGTCTGGTAAGTCCTTCTAGCCAGGCACAATTATGTGGCAACTTCCTCTTAGTTGAAACATCCGAATAAACTCACTGGCTCACCAAATTTGTCTTCCATGGCATAGCTTACTTTGGTCTATCATCAGTTCTCTACCAGGAATTAACAGATATTTGTATCATGTGTCTCCAGGAAAAGTGTCATAAATGCACACTGTAATTAAATGAGACCTCTACTACTAAAGAATATGTAGAGGTAGATACATCTTAGGCAGCTAGCATTCTCTGCTACCCACAGCCTGGTGTTGAGGGCACAGATTGTGGAGGACAGAAGTGCCAGGTTGAAGAGCATTTTGCACTAGAGTGTGGGAGAACCCTGTGAGTACAAGGGCTTGTGTGTGTTCTATTTGCCCAGTACCTATAACAATGCATGGCATACTACAGCTTTCAGTAACCACTGAGTGATGGTGGCCCTGGCTGATACAGAACAATAGAAACACTCCTGTCATTGTTCAAAGCATGGTAGACGTCTTAATAGAAAAATGTAGTTGATGCTTTCCCATCGATTATTTAGAAAGTTATCACTCTTGCCAGGGAGCTCAATCAGTAGGACAATGGATACTGCTGTCACCTTTTGTGGGATTCAGAGCCATAGTACCTCCTTCAACCCACTCAAGACTAAGTTACAGAATCAAAATGTTTCAGTCCTGAAACACTTGATGTTTCTCCATCAAGAACATTCTGCTACATGAATACCCCTATTTAGAATAGCTAAAACATTGCTAATTCCATCGACACTCTATTATCTAACATATTACTTCTGCAGATTTACCCACTTAGACTAATAATAGCTTTGTTCTTTAAAAATACATTGTATTTGATTCACAGACACCGTGGGCAATCATGGTGGGGAATGGTCTGGGCTGGGGGTGGGGACTGGAGAGTATTGTTCAGGGATACAAAATGTCAGAGGGGTAAGTAGTGGCTTCAGGCACTCTATTGGCAACACCCGGCTACAATGAACATCAGTGTTGCCAGGAGAGCAAGAGAGGGCTCTGCCAATAAAAACTCATGTTTTGTAAGTGTGACAACTTGAGTTCAATCCCCAGAACCCTCAATTGAAGGTAAGAACTGATCAAATGTCTCTGGCTTCTGCATGTGTGCCCTCCCAACAAAATATCACATGAAACAATAATTATATTTTTAATAATTTATTTAGATTTATTTTACATACATTGGTATGAAGGTATCAGATCCCCTGGAACTGGAATTATAAACAGTTGTGAGCTGCCATGTGGGTGCTGGGAATTGGACCCAGGTCCTCTGCCAGTGCTCTTAACTGCTGAACCATCCCTCCAGCCCACCTTCCAATAACAATATTTTATAATTTAAGAATAAAATTGCTGCCGGGCGGTGGTGGCGCACACCTTTAATCCCAGCACTCGGGAGGCAGAGGCAGGCGGATCTGTGTGAGTTCGAGACCAGCCTGGTCTACAAGAGCTAGTTCCAGGACAGGCTCCAAAGCCACAGAGAAACCCTGTCTCAAAAAACCAAAAAACAAAACAAAACAAAAAAAAAAAACAAAAAAAGAATAAAATTGCTAAGACGATAAATTTCAAATGTTCTTGTGGCAACAGAACATTTGATGAGGGCTGGAAATGTCGCTCAGGAGTAGGACGCTTGCCCAGCATGACAAAGCCCTAGGTTCTATTCATGGTGGCTTCAGCCTGTAACTTGAGCATATGGGAAGAGGTGGCAGGGGAGTTGGGAATTCAAGGTCATTTTTGGCTAGGTAATGAGTTAGAACCTGGGCTACATAATACCTTGTCTCAGAAAACAATGTGATAAGATGGGAAGGGGTTTAGAGCACACAGTGCTCCTTTAGAGGAGCCGGGTTTGGTTCCCACCATCGATGTTCACAACCACCTGCAACTCCAGCTCCAGGGAATCCAGGGCCTCTGCCTCCATGGGCAGTCCCCCAAATACGTGTACAGACACACACAGGCAAAACTGAAAAATGAAATCTCTTTAAAAGTAAGAAGTTGTCTGGCGGTGGTGGCACATGCCTTTAATCCCAGCACTTGGAAGGCAGAGGCAGGTGGATCTCTGTGAGTTTGAGGCTAAACTGGTCTACAAAAGCTAGTTCCAGGGCAGACTCCAAAGCTACACAGAGGAAACCCTGTCTAGAAAAAAAAAAGAAAAAGAAAAAAGTCATGCATATCTGAATTGGGTCAATTTAGCTATAACACAATGTATCTATTTTCAAATATTTTTTTCCATATACATGTACTCTCCAATCTGGACTGCCACAGAGACAGACAGGAAGCACGGCAGCCTTTTCTTTGGCATCTTAGTGCAAATTTTTTTTTCAAGACAGGGTTTGTCTGTAACTTTGGAGCCTGTCCTGGAACTTGCTCTGTAGACCAGGCTGGCCTTGAACTCACAGAGATCCACCTGCCTCTGCCTCCTGAGGGCTGGGATTAAAGGTGTGCACCACCATTGCCTGGCCAAATTTTCAAAACATATATATATATATATATATATATATATATATATATATATGGTTTAAATTTTTGATATTACAATTTATTTTATATGTGTGAATGTTTTGCCTGCTTACATATCTGTATAAATGTCCCTGCCTCGTGCCCGTGGGGACTGAAATGGAGCAATGGATGCTCTGGGATTGCATCTGCAGATGGTTTTGGGCCATCATGTCAGTGCTGGGGACTGAACCCGGTTCCTCTGCAAAAGCAGCAAGTGCTCCTAACCACCGAGCCCTCTCTCCAGCCCCTCATTTTATTTATTTATTTTTATTTTTTGAACAGGGTTACACATAGCTATGGCTAACTTTTAACTCATCTTCCTGCCTCCCCTCCTGAGTTCTGGGATTAGAGGTGTGGGGTACCACGCCTGGCTTTGCAGACAATCTCATGCATGTACGTCATTGTACTTTGCTCTTACTCAGTCCCGATCATGTATCCTGTTCTCCTCACAGCTGGAGTTCAACGTCACGTTTCCTTCTCTCTGATCTGGGATGCTCCATAGCCTTTCTGCTTATTCTTTTGTGATGCTGACATTTAAGGAGAGTCTAAAGTAGCGCTCCATCGACTGTTTCCCTTGGATTCATCTGGTTCTTTCTTGTTGACTTAAGTTCAGGGTAAACATGAATTTTCCCAGAATAATTCAGAAGCAGCGCTGTGTCCTTGGTGCGTCCTGCTGGAGGGAACACTGTGTCTTTCCATCTTCTTCTGGGTGATTAGGGGAAGCTGGAGCCAGCTTGGTGTCTTCATTGTAAAGGTTTCTGTCCTTGGCTGGGAGAGGGAGTGGCTCAGTGGGTAGAGTGCTTGCTGTGCCTGCACAGGGACCTGAGTTCACATCTCTGGCACCCACATAAAAGTCAGGCACTGACGAGGGGGTGGAGATAGGTGGATAGGTGAGCTTAGGTGAGACTGAGAGAGACCTTTTCCCAAAAATAAGGTGTCGACATCTGGCCTCCACACATGCATAAAAAGTTGCATTCACACATGCAGACAAAAACTCGCACACACACCGAAGTTTCTATCCCTGAGACAGGTGTTGTGATTCATGCCTGCAATTCTCACTCTGGGGAGTCAGGGACAGGAGCGTGAGTCTGAGGCCAACCTGGGCTACATTGCATGATTCTGTCTTGAACACTAAGGCAAGCAAGAGTTCCATCCTTCTTTCAAGTTAAGAGGTAACCCATGGGGTGATACTGTTACCCCAAAACTTTTTTGCCAAGGCTGTAACATCAGGTGACCCTTGCCACAATCAACGCAGCCCGTAACTTTGAAATGCCGGGGGCCCTGATTCTCCACAAAGACAAAGTCAGTACTGCAAAAGTAAGTTTGTGTGTGTGGTGGTGTGTTTGTATGTGTCTATGTTTGTGTGTTTGTGGTGTGTTTGCAAGTGTGTGTGATGTGTGACTGGTGTGTGTGTGTGTTATGTAGTGTGTTTGTTTGTGTGTGTATGTGTGCATGGTATGTTTATATGGGGAGACCAGAAAAAGACTTTGGTGTTGTGTCACTCCTCAGGAATGCCATTCACATTAATAATAATAATAATAATCATTATTATTGTTTTTTTTTCAAGACAGAGGTTCTCTGTGTAGCCCTGCCTGACTCAGGATTTGCTCTGTAGGCCAGGCTAGCCTCGAACTCACAGAGTTCCACTTGCCTCTGTTCCTCTTGGTACTGGAATTAAAAGTGTATGCCACAACCACCCAGCCACATTATTTTTTTAAAAAGTTGTTTTGCTTGTTATTATCAGATGTATGTGTGGTGTCTACGCATGATGCGCTTGTGGGAGGGCAGAGGACGACTTTGTGGAGTTGGGTCTCTCCTTCCACCTCTGCGTGGGTTCCAGGGACCGAGCTGAGGCTGTTAGGCTTCCACAGAGGATGCTCCACTCTCCGTGGCAGCCGGATGATCCTTCACTCCTCCGTTAGGCTAGACTGGCTGTGAGAGAGCCCACACCATCTCCTTTCCCTGCCTCCTCAATGTCACTGTACCCAGCTTTTCACACGGGTTCTGGGGGTCCAACTCAGGTTCTCATGCTTGCAAGGCAAGTGCTCCACAGATTGACTCATCTCTCCAGACCCTTTCACGTTTCCTCCTGAGTACCAGAATGCTACAAGTGTGGTTCAGCAGACATCTCACCCTCTCGGTTTCCCTGAAGACCTTTCTCTATTGATTCCCCATAGCCCTGGGCTCTTTTTCTCTGTTCAGAAACCCTGGGAAAACCAGCCCAGAGTCCTTCCCATTGTCTCCTTAGGCTCTTCAGAGCGATGAAGGTTCAGGACCACGGACAGGGACGGAGCTGTTAACTGTAGAATAACGTTTCTTCAGTACTGGTGCCTCGCCAAGGATTCTTCTAAATTATTTATATTTATTAACTTTTTTCCGTACTTTTTTTTTAAGGGTCGAATGATTCTTGCTATGTAGCCTAGGCTGGACTGGAACTCACCGTTCTCCTGAAAGCTGGTGTGACCCCGGTGCACACTCCCCAGCCTGACCCCCTCATTCTCTATGTTCATGAACTTCATCAGCTTCACCTTCCTGCCTACTGACATATTCTCAGACTGCCATCCAGCCAGGCTCTGCCTTACTTAGATTTCTCCATTCATGTGCTCTTATAAAAGGTGTGAACGGGGTCTGTAGAAAGTGACGCATCAGTTGGCAGGTCAATCATTTTCCTTCCTCCTCCTGGAGATACTTTGGTGAGAGTCAGTCCCTCACTGTAGCACTTCCTGGTTGAAGGGCCTTTAAAAAAATACTTTTTAGTTTTTATTTATTTATTTTTCTTTTTTAAAAATTGATTTTATTGAGTTATACATTTTTCTCTGTTCCTCTCCATTTCTTTCCCCTCCCCTTCAACCCTCTTTCATGGTCCCCACACTCCCAATTTACTCAGGAGATCTTGTCTTTTTCTACTTCCCCTGCAGATTAGATCCATGTATGTCTCTCTTAGGGTCCTCATTGTTGTCTAGGTTCTCTGGGATTGTGAATTGTAAGCTGGTTTTGGCCGAGGGGATTTTTAGGTCCTACTGGGGGAAACTAGTTCCTAATTAAGCAGTCAGCACCCCGACTTTAGGGGATTCCCTGGAGGCTTGTGTCTGTAGCTGGGCTCTCGGAGCCACTGTGCCTGAATGGTCAATGTAGAAGCTACTTCTTCAACTTCTTTGACTTCTCTAAGCCACTTGACACCTTACAATAGACTGCTTTCTGCAAGAATTGACTACCTGGGCATGGCCCCATGTGTGTGAAAACCCTTGGCAGTCTTTCGGGGGGCTGAAGCAAGAGGATCCTCAGTTCACAGCTAGCGTGGGCTACAAGCCAGGCTCTGTCTCATGGAAACAAAACAAAATTAACTATCTCTTTCCCTCCATCCCTCCTTCTCTCCCTTGTCTCATGTACCCTAGGCTAGCCTGGAGCTCACTTCATGGCTGAGGTTGACCTTATACTTCTCAGATTAACCTGAACTCACATCATGGCTGAGGCTGACCTTATTTATACTTCTGATTTTTCCTGCCTCTACCTCCCAAGTGCCTCTCTTTTTTCTTCTAGTTTCTCCTCCATTCTGCTCCAGGTCTGGGAGCTGAGCCTCCATCTGTCTGTGTGTTCCCATCCTAGTTGGCTCAAGTGAAACAAGAAGAAAGAACAGGAGAAAGGAGAGAGCAGTCCTGCCCCCACTGGGCTAGGGGCTGTCAGGAGCACACACTTCAGGATCTGTGCTCTCGAACTGACAAGGACAAGCCCATGCCACTTCTGAGAGCCCAGTGGCTCTGGCAAGGGCTGCCCCTGGGCTGTTTCCCTTTGCTGCTGTCCACCAGCCTTGCTTCACATCTTTACATTGTTCCTTAAGTGCATCAGCATTCCTACTGATTGTGGCGACAGCTCAGGGACCTACCACCGATATGCAGCAGCTCTGACCTAAGTGGATGCTGCAACAGATGATTGCTATGGACTTAATGGTTTAATCACTCAAAAAAAAAACAAAAAAACAAACAAACAAAAAAAAAAAAAAAACAAAGCCGGGCAGTGACGGCACACGCCTTTAATCCCAGCACTCGGGAGGCAGAGGCAGGCAGATCTCTGTGAGTTCGAGGCCAGCCTGGTCTACAAGAGCTAGTTCCAGGACTGGAACCAAAAGCCACAGAGAACCCCCCCAAAACAAATACAAAAACAAAAACAAAAAACAAACTTTCTAACAAGAGATGAATGCATTAGCATAGGGTTCTAAGGCTTCCATGTACAAGATGTTACATGACCTTGAAAAAGAAGAATAGACATTTCTACACTGTGGATAAACTTTAGGGACCTTATAGGTGACAAGAAAGTTAAGAGGACAAATACTATATGATCAATCCTGTCACCCTTAGAGCTGGAGTGCAACTGGACCTGGACCCACACCCTGGGTCACAGCCCTGTGTGCTTCTGTTATTCAGAGCAACACAGTCACATTACTGGGGCATGCGACACCCAGAGGCCATGCTCACACTCCACACACCTGTCAGAATGTGGCCTGCCAGACAGAATGTCAGCAGCCACTGTGCCTCCTGTCCCCAGGAACCCTAGAAGCCACTCTCATGCCTCCCTGCCTTTCTGCCTCCTGCCTCCTGCCTCCTGCCAGGCATTTCCAATCTCTTTCTGCTTCTCAGTTACAACAGTTATTAGAGCTGCCCCAGTGACGTTTCTCCACATGCAGAGGAGGAAGCGGGGAATTAGCGCATCACAGGGAAAATGTTTTGATCTCTGCACATGTTGAAGACAGGCTTCCTTTGAATTCTGTGCCCTCAGTGGCACTGGGGAGGATGAAAAGGCTTTGGGAGTCTGTGGCTTGGGTCTGCTTGTGAGAATGAATCTGCACACCTGCCCCAGGAGATCAGGAGAGTTGATTCTCTCCTTCCACAACCTGGGGCCTTGAGACTGGAGTTATCATGTTGGATGCAACACTTTTACCCTTCAGAACCAGCTATGGAGACTGATTTCAAATTAAAAGAGAAATCCACCTGCCTCTGTCTCCCGAGTGCTGGGATTAAAGGGGTGAGCCAGCACACCCATTTATTTTTTTACATGTAGCAGTAGCAGGAGAGAGAGAGAGAGAGAGAGAGAGAGAGAGAGAGAGAGAGAGAGAGATACTTGTGTCAACAGCAAATGTGAGGGTCAGTGGACCACTTTCAGGAGTCAGTTCTTTCCTTCCACCATGTGGGGTTTGGAATTAAACTTAAGTTAGGTCATCAGGCTTGGTGGCAAGTGCCATTACTCACAGAGCCACCTGGCGAGCCTGGAAACCCTGTCTTGTGAAAGAAACACATTAGAATCAACATTGCAAGGAAGAGGATGATGGCTCAGTGGGTAAAGTGTTTGCCACTCAAGTGTGAGGACTTGGGGGTGGATCCCCAAAATACATGTAAAATCCCAGAAGGCATTGGTGACTTGCTTATGATCCTGCCTGTGACCCTGGCACACAAAGGTGGAGACAGGGGTCCCCAGGGAAAGCTGTCTCTCTGACACAGTGAGCTCTGGCTCAGTGAAGGACCCCACCTCAGTAAACAAACTGGAGAGTGATGGAGGAAGACATCAGATGGCCACTGACATCCTCCACGTGCACACACATACACACACACACACACACACACACACACATACACACACATACACACACATACACACACATACACACACACACGTGCATGCACACATGCACAAATGTGCATGTACGCAAGCATGAGCACACACCACACGCACATAAAAACAGGAGAAAACACACCATCACGTTTGACACTCAGGCCTATATCACGTGGGACACAGGAGAGGAGGGGTTGGGAGAGAGGAGGTGTCTAGGATGCTCCTATTGGAAGACACGTTCAGATGTAACCATCGGTCCATGAGAGCAGTGTTTTCAGTCCACCTTGTAGACAATAGATGAGCATTTGGAGGGGGCTACAGAGTCTCACGTAGTCCAGGCTGGTGAGAAGCTCAAAGAATGGACAAGGATGACTTGAACTGACCCTCCTGCCTCCACCTCCTGGGTGCAGGATTTCAGGCATGGACTATCACCAATGGACTATGCACATCCTGGTTTACTCTGGTCTCTCTGGTCCAGAGAAGCTGCCGTGTTAAAGGGCAGGTGGTAGACAGCACACGCTGCAGACATCCACAATAAGGCTCGTGAGAAGCAAGGCTGAGGACGTGACTCAGAGGGTCAGTCCCTGCCTAGCATGCATGAAGCTATGAGTTCAGGTCCCGGCACTGCCTGAACGCCGATGTGGTGGCTCATGCCTGTCATCCCAGCAGGCAGGGGATGAGAAGCTCAAGGGAAGCCACAGTAGGTTTGAGGCCAGCCTGGGCTACAGGAGACTGTGTCATCATGAAGCCTTGTCTTTGGGAAAGGAATGCTGAGTCACCTCTCTGAGCAGCACACTGACTCCACGCAGGTTCCAGAAGAGAAGAAGACAGAGTGCAGAGAACCTTATCCACCAGGGCGTCTTTGGTGAAGCGAGAGTGGCTATTGTTAGAGCCCAGCACACTGATGAACTCCTGCAACCCCAGCATTCCAGAGGGGAAATGGGAGAAACAGGAGTCTGAGGCCATCAGCTATACAGCAACCTGGAGGCAAGCCTAGGCTACCAGAAGCCCCGTTTCAAAAGCCAAAGCAAAGCATAGCACAGAGAAGCCTGCTGCCAACACCTGGAACCACAGAGACGAGATGCTCCCTGAAAACCCAGGAAGAGCCCAATACAAATGACTTGCTGTCATCTCAGATGCAGAAAACAGTAGCCCAGGCTAGACCACGGGGGCTCAAGGCAAGCAGGAGTGTCCCTGGAGAGCTGAAGTGGTGGCTCCTTTGCCATGAGAGCCAAAGAAAGACTCGACGCCAAGACTCACACGACACACCACAGGTCTTTTCTCAACTTGTATTTGCAGATTGTTTACAAAAGTAGAAAAATAGACATTTTGTGGGTCTGAGAACCCACACACATAAATAAATACTTTTTAAAAAGTCACGAAGGGCTATAAATTAAGGCGGGGGGCTTGTTGAGTCCACACAGTGCAGCTGGTAGGAGGGTCTGAGCTCAGGCACACTGATCTCCCATGGCCACACACTTCAGGTCCCGGAGGAGCAGGCGCATGAGGTTGGAATTAACAGAGTCCTCCAGGCAGCCGGGGGTCTCCTGAAAGGACAGAGCTGGCTCAGGGGCTGCCGGGACTCAGGGCTCTCAGGTGCTGCAGATCCAGGTCCCCTCTCTAGACTCACCTTCTCCTGGGCCTCCTGGAGCTTGTGCAGCCAGCGGGAGAGGCGGTGACTCTGGGACCCGGGCTCTGCTGTGGGCTGAGACTGTGTCTGTGGACAGAGGAGGGGACTGTAAGCCTGCTGCTGGGACACAGGAAGTCCCCGTGGCTGGAGGCACAAAGTGGAGGAGCTGGGGACCCAGGACTCACACAGGCCTGCAGCTGGGACTGGATGTGGCGCAGTGTGTGAAGAGGCTGGTGCAGGATGGGGCCCAGGGCTGAGTCAGTCACGTTCTCCAGGACCTCCAGTGTCAAGGCCAGATCAGCCTGCAGGGCC